AATGGTGGAGTGCCGTATCTGGGCCTGAGAGATTAGCATTGACTAGTGGGATTAGCATTGACTAGTGGGATTGCATCATAATGCAGGCTTGGGATACTGAGCAGTGGCTGCAGAACTTTCAGATGCACAAGCCCACGTTCCTGGGTCTCTGTGTTGAGCTTGCTCCATCTCTCCAGCGCAGGAATGCTGGAATGCGAGCTGTGCTGGTGGTAGAGAAGCGAGGGGTGATCACGCTATGGAAACGTGCAATGCCGGATTGCTACCAGTCAGTGGGAAATCATTTTGGAGTTGGAAAATTCACTGTGGGAAATTAATGGAACAGAATTTAACAAGGGAAAAGAACATTCATGTCCGTTTCAGATACACATGCAGCAACCGTGGCTTTCACAGGTCAGGGTATGTGAAGCTGTGATTGTCCTTAATGTCCCTCAGTGTGGAGTGGTTGGGGTAGGGACGTGGTCCTATGCCTCATGGAATGTTAAGGCAGGGGTGTGGGGAGGTGCTGTAATGGAGTTCTCCATGGCTTGCAAAGGGAGGTGAGCCTGTGACTGTTGAACCAGTAGGTCCATAAGAGTCTGCAGCATCTGTGTTTGCTGCTGGAGAAACCCCATTATGTCCTGCACCTTTCTTCTGTCTGCTGTGTCCTCCTTCATGCAGTCTGCAATATCACCCTCTAGGCCCTCTGTTCATGGTCTGATGCAGCACTGGCTTGCATGATCTCGCTGAACATTTCCTCCTGTGTCCTCTTCTTTCTCCTCCTTATCTGGTTCAGGCAATTCCACGAGTGTGGAGGGAGAACTCCTCAAAAGTGCCATGGCAGCAGCTATAGATAAAACACAGAGGTACCATTGTCAATATAGTCACAACAGAAAGCAAAAGCTAAGATTCAGAACTCCCTTCCCTTGCTCCCCTAAAGATTGATACAAGATCTGCTTATTGACACTTCTGCTTTGGAGTGCTTGTGTACGGCTCTACTCACAGCTCCAGCCATGGTGTGTATGGCTCACCATGGGCAAGGGAAATGAGGAGAGAATTGCTCGATTGCATGAAACTGAGCATAGGGCAATGGCAGTACAGTACATCACTGTAATGGAAAATACATGAACACACTTACTCAAGGCTCCTTCCCCTGCCTCAGGCTTGCTTGTGCTTGACTTCCAGGACTGACGGTTCTGTGGTGGAGTCTCAAACGGGTCCTGGCTTGTGGCATATCTGGACACCTCTTCCCCCACCCTCCCCGGTCACATGTCCCCCTTCTTCCCCCACTTGTCCTCACTGTTCATGCTGGGGGCCTGTGACTTGGGCTCCTCAGAAGTATCCACGGTGGTGTGCAGGGTGGTGGTGGGGTTTCCACCAAGTATGGCTCAGCACTGGACTGACTCTTGGCTTCCCTGGCCTTCTGATACACCTGCCACACTTCCCTTGCTTTCACGCAGCACTGTTGCTGAATCGGGTTGTCCGCCTTCTCTTGCATCCCCCATGTAATCTGCTCATAGAGGTCTACGTTTCTACGGCTGGTACAGAGCTGCATGTGCATGGCCTCTTCTCTCCACAGGCCCAGGAGATCTCATATGTCTTGTCTATTCCAAGCCTGAGCACATCCGGAGCGTGTAGCTGGCTTGGGCAGCTGCACACAATAATAGAGAGAGCATCTAGATGTGCTCGCCGAGCTGGGCAATCAGGGGAAAAAGCATTTCAAAAATTCATGGATCTTTAAAGGGGCTTCCAGTCTCCATGACCCCAGGCAGTGGAGTTCACAGGTGTGACCAGAGTGGTCAGTGTCAGGCATTGTGGACAGCTGCTGGAGGACTGTTAGGGTCAACATAAGTAAAGTGGCATCAACACTCACACTGCATGAACCTCAATACATCAACCATGGGTCAGTGCCACTTGGGGAGGTGGTGTAATGGGGTGCTTACGTAGGTGGGAGACACAATTAAGTGTAGGCACATGCACAATTAGGTCAATGCAAGGTGGCCTACATTGGTCTAACTTTGTGTTGTAGATCAAGCCTGAAGCTATTCCCTGAATATGGCCTGTCCTTTGTGTTCGGTGTACAGGCTTTTCTTATTTTACTTCAAATGGGAAGGGAGCCGTGGTTCTTTAACCCTAGCCCGCAGCTTGCTAATGTAAGACTAGATCAGTGTTGGAAAAAATGCAACAGGAATCAATCGCTGCGGGGATATTCCTCCCAGACCTTTCTCCAAGCCAGACAACTTTCATCTGCTGATTCAGAGAGAATATGCAGCCCTGTTACCTCTGGACTTTGTCTCCTTCACATAGCTGTGTATTTAAAAGGCTTTCTGCCTGTTTCAAAGTAAACAGCTCTTTCGTGAAGTGGAGCATTTTTGTAATTCAGAGGACTTTAATTGCTTATAATATGGATTCAAAGTTCTGTAAAGAAACAGTACTTCTGATCCTGTCTGACTCAGCAGCGAGAATAATCATGATACATTTAATTGGAGTATGAAGATGCATTGTGGGGGGTGAAGATAAGAACAGTGCTTTCAAGATTGTAAAGCAGTTCTGTGTGGGGGGACATTAGACGTTTGTCTGCAAATCCATTACTCCATTTGATCTTGTTGCTGCCTTGAAACTGTCCATGGAAACAAGATCCATTTGTTTAGAAGGGACAGTTTAATGCAAAGCACGTTACATCTACAGGCAGAGCAGAGGGTGAGAACTTTGCTTTGTGCATGTTTTACAGCTGTGCTTAAAGGCGGAGGAGTGAATCTGCAGGTCACATGATTTCACAGGTAACTTGTCAGAATAGGCACCAGAGATGCTACCCACATGCATTAATATGCATTAATATAACTAACTTGGTGAGTTTTTATTCTAAAGCATGTCCCAAGATATATATATGCCAGCCAGTCATTGTACAGTACACTGGCTCAATATACCCTCAAGGGTAGCAGAGCAAACACCTGCTGCTCTTATCTAATGCACTAATTTCATAGAATCATAGAATATCAGGGTTGGAAGGGACCCCAGAAGGTCATCTAGTCCAACCCCCTGCTCGAAGCAGGACCAATTCCCAGTTAAATCATCCCAGCCAGGGCTTTGTCAAGCCTGACCTTAAAAACCTCTAAGGAAGGAGATTCTACCACCTCCCTAGGTAACGCATTCCAGTGTTTCACCACCCTCTTAGTGAAAAAGTTTTTCCTAATATCCAATCTAAACCTCCCCCACTGCAACTTGAGACCATTACTCCTCGTTCTGTCATCTGCTACCATTGAGAACAGTCTAGAGCCATCCTCTTTGGAACCCCCTTTCAGGTAGTTGAAAGCAGCTATCAAATCCCCCCTCATTCTTCTCTTCTGCAGGCTAAACAATCCCAGCTCCCTCAGCCTCTCCTCATAACTCATGTGTTCCAGACCCCTAATCATTTTTGTTGCCCTTCGCTGGACTCTCTCCAATTTATCCACATCCTTCTTGAAGTGTGGGGCCCAAAACTGGACACAGTACTCCAGATGAGGCCTCACCAATGTCGAATAGAGGGGAACGATCACGTCCCTCGATCTGCTCGCTATGCCCCTACTTATACATCCCAAAATGCCATTGGCCTTCTTGGCAACAAGGGCACACTGCTGACTCAATTTGATCTGTAATATCCATTACATACCTAGCTACTGGTTTGAGGGACTGAGACCTCATTTGGAAAATGGCTACGTCCTTTGGCCACCCGAATTGGCTGCCCGTGACCAGTTAGTGTATTGGGAATTGTGATAATTTTGTCAAGCAGAGCACTATGGAGGGTGACTTCTGTTCCGTGAAATAAAAGAGCTGTGATGCCGTGGGCTGTCCATAGTGGACTTTAGTGGTGGTTAGAGCAAGACTAGAGAGCTGGGTTTGGAGCAGATTGCTACACTGCAAGACGATGCTGCAGCAGATTTTATGTTAGAGACACTGTCTGATTAAGTGTTTAAAATGCTCCCTTACCTATGTTACAGATGTCATTTTGGATTATTAAAACAGAATTTTTTATAGCATTCTCTACTGCTTGGCTTCAGGATTTTGCTCCCTTTGACCGCAGAGCATTGCAGGTCGTTTTAATTTTTTGCTTTCCACTCACTATTGTGATGCTGCAATGTGGGAATTTTTGTGGGTTTTACAAAAATTGTTTCCATTTCTATTAATCATAGCTTTTTCTGCAAAGAAAATCTAAATGTGGAGATTCTTCTAACTCTCCTATTATGGGTGATAGCTGATTCCTTTCAAGGGGCCCTGTCACATCAGGCAGGCCCCACATTTAGGTTTTGGTTTAAAAAACAAAACAAAAAACCCAATTATATTTATTACAATATACATGTATTTAAGCTCCAAATGAAAGATTGTTTTCTTGCAATGCAAATATCCCCTTGCAGTGTTTGCAACATCATCACAGCATCATTCTAGTGCATGAGAACCAGAATAGAGAGTCATTTTGTTTTTCCGCCCAAACAGAAGTTACAAAAAGTAACCGAACAGCATAAGTAATGAAAAGAAAACTCAGCTTTTTACAATTAATTAGTTCTGGATGTTTGTTACACAAATGTATAGGTTTTTTTTTAAAAAAAATATGGTCTTAACCTTCTGATGCTCCTTTAATTTTATCACATCCCAGGCTTTTGTACAAATATCAGTTCTGTCTGTATTGTTTTAGCAAAAGGGACTGACTTGATGGAGCCAAACAGCTTATTTTGGTTCATTTTTTTAGGCCCAGGTATACTGTAGTATCTAGTTGATTTTGACTGGGAAGTGAAATAGCTGAAAATACAGTTTGCAGTTTACAGATTCTCAGGTAAAATCTCCCTCTCCTCCTTCCTGTTTCTCAGCCTCTTGGTGTGTTCCTGCTAAACTTGATGCAAGGAGCAAAGGGTGTTGATTGTTTGGACTATGCAGCTAAGCGGCTAGAGTGTGGTTGGTAGTCTCCTCCCCTGCCTGAGCTTCAGCCCTGACTAGTGTGCACTCTGGAATGACAGGCATTCCTGCTTGAAGGGAGCTGGCATGGACGCTTATTTATGAGAATCACAAGTGCCGGGGCCTGGGATACAGGAAGAACAGGAGCTGCGGTGGCTTGGCTGACACCCGGGCCATTTCCTGAGTTCTGGCAGTCTCCCGGTCGCAAGGCCCTGGATTTTCCCCCACCCTCCAGTGTGGATTTCTCCCTTTCAAAAAAGGCTAACAGACTCTCCCAGGGTAGTGGTGTGTGGTCCCCCCGACCCCTGTGCCGCCTTCAGAGAGCTGCTTTGAAAAGAATCTAAGCATGGGGCAGACACTGTTCTCGAGACCAGTACATCCAGCTGCTTTCGGTAAGTAATGGAGGGCAGGAGAAGTCTAACAATCTCTGGCTGGGGCCGAGGCAGGGATTGCAGGTGAAGCTGGGAAGTACATAGAAATGGAATGCTAGGATTGTGTAACTTGCATAGATCACATTAGACTTGGGGAAATGTCTGACTCTGAGAAGAGTAACTAGAGGGGAATTACTTTGTGTCTCTCCTTTCTCTCTTTGCTGTGTTTAAACTTATTTACTATGCAACTTATTTACTATCCTTGCTGATACCTGTAGTCAGGTTCTGTGCTGCATTAGTTAAAGAACTTTCTCTGATCTTTGCTTGCTGCTGCCTGTCAGGTTCAGGGACGCTGGTTTACAGAGCCCAGTAAAATTCCCCACATTTGATTGCAATTAAACATTTTATACAGCCGCAGTATGGAACTGATACACAAGTTGACCGTTTTGCATGGCATCACTGAGCTTTTGGGGGCACCTTTAATATTTTGAAAAATGGGCTTGGCAGTCTTCTTTCTACTTGATTCTATCTCTGCCATTTCTTCCCTGCTTTCTACAGAGGGACGTCTGTGGTCTTGAATTCTGGGGTACTGATGCTCCGACTACATGGAGTGGAAGAGTCCTGATGTGATTAATTGCTAGATATCCATAGTACAAGTGCCAGCCCAGTACTTTAGATTTTGAAAGCAGAATTTGATTACTTTGCTGTAGACTAATGAATTTAGCATGGCATTGGGAGCCTGTTTTGGGTTCGATTCCTGGCTCTGGGAGAGTGCTGTGTGACCTAGAACAAGTCATTTCAGCTGTCTGTGCCTTTATTTTCCTGAGTGTGAGATAGGGCGAATGCATTTTCCACATTTCACAAAAAGCACTTTGATATTTGGAGGTGGAAAGCATTTATATAAGTGTAAATTATTCATTCCCTTTCCATTAAATCAGTTTCTCAGCCTTATAACTTTGAACTTTTCTGGTGCTTTTTAGGGGAATAATTAGCTTTAGGTTAAGATAGTGTTTTTTTCCTTCTTACTGGACTTGTTCAAGAGCTGCTAAAAATAAGTGGTGTGTGGGGGGGGGAGGAAAACTTCAGTCTTCTCTGCTGTCAGTGGAGATTAATAGTGCCTTCCCCTTGGATTTATGAGGTGTTGGAAGGCAGATCTATTTGGTTTTGCCTGGGCTGCCCCCTCAACCGGGCGCCAGAGATTTCTGTACTTTTTAGTGAGAAGGGAGGATGACACTGTCATCCCCTGCCCTCAGAATTTGTCTTATCCACCTGATTATGTGCCATCTATAGATTCCTCTTATTGCACAGCTTGAGTAAAGGTACCAACCCATTGAATAGATCCTGAGATTTTAAGGGACAGCTTTCGCGGGCTCTCTTGTATTGACACAGACAAGATGTTCTTTCAAATAAAAATCCTGTTAAGATGATATTGGACAGAGATATACAAAAGCCAGGGAAGTTAAAGGCTCACACTGTCCTTACTTTGCCCCATTACGGTGGAAGAGGTTGGGGAAGTGCAGTATGTGTTGTGACCGGAGTCTATTGTTGCTTTTAAGGTCAAGACATCTCCCTCCATCTCAGATATATCTATAGCTATAAATGTAGAGAAACACACTCTCTCTCTCTCTCTCTCTCTCTCTCTCTCTCTCCCCCCCCCCCACTCTTGTGCTCTCTCTCCCCCCCTTCAAATTTTTATATAGTTTTAATGTAATAGGAAGGTAGAAACACCAAACAGATGGCTTCTAATTTTTTTTTGAGTCATATCTGCTTACTTTTCTGAAGGACTTAGTTTTGCTACTTTCAGAGACACCGCATCTAGGGCAGAGGGAGATAGGTTTTACTCTGGCTTGTACATCAGTGGCTGATATTAACAGTTAAGAGTTAACAGAACTGTTAACTCAAGACCTAGCTGCAAAATCACTAAGTGATGGCGCTATGCTAGACAGGACTCCTAGATTCCAGGGTGACTTTGCAAGGCTGGCATATTTTTACTTATAAACTAAGTGGTCTTCGGTCTGTTCTACACGATGAACTTTTGCTGGAATAGCTGTGTTGGTCTGGGGCATGAAGAAGTGTAATCCTGACCCTGACTGACACCACTGTACCAGCAAAAGCCCCTAGAGGAGATGGAGTTATACCAGCAGTTTTGCCGGCATAGCTTATTTTTCTTGGGGAGTGAGGGGGTGGGAGCAGATACCAGAGAAGCAGTTTTGCCTGTATAAAAGGCATTCACACTAGGAGTGCTCTGCCAGTGTAGTAAGCCACTATAACCTTCCAAGTGTATACCTGGCCTCACTCTGGAGTCATTGAGGGATGATAAATAGGGGACCTCTCTTCTAAGGGTTTTTTGTTTTTTTCCCCCCTGTAAAAGGCGGAGATGTTTTGTGGCCTGACTTTCTGGAGTGTGGATATAGGGAATGGGCTAAAATGCTATCAGAATGTATTTTTTCCTTTGTCATTTCTTTTTCCTGCATAATGGAAACGTTTATAACCGGTCCTAAAGTGTGCAACTTCAGACCAATCTGGTGGCTGTGCTTTATGGTCACATGGGAGTTCATCTCTGGAAGGTTATCCCATCAGTCTGACTTGCTCAGGTGTGTTGGGGGTGATGTTAACCAAGAGGGTGGTGCGACTGACTGACTTTCCTTGTATGATCTGAAAAAGAGCTCAAAAGCTGCTCTCTCACTAACAGAAGTTGGTCCAATGTTCCAGATGTTACCTCCATCACCTTGACTTTCCTTGCAGATTTCAAAGGTGCAGAAGACCTCTTGATAGACTCAAAAAGCTTCCCACTCCTGGAACAAATGTACTTAATATTCTGTCAATATGTGGGGCTATTCAGTTTTCCAGTAGAACTATGCATATCTTTGATGGTTGTAATGAAGTTACTGCATAAGTGCTGTAGCCAGTTTTCAAACACTTTTATTAAGATGACAGACAAAGGCCTTAGCTTACAGCATGAATACATATGTCCCTCAAATTTAAGGCTTTTTTTAAAAAGTCTTTCTAGTCCCATATAAACAAATTAGAGCCTATGAGGTTAAGGGCTCTGACCATAGTTCTGGAGCCACATCCGGGATAATTAAGGGCAAGGTGCATTGGTTTCTTTAAAGGAATGTGACATGAACAAGATCAAAATGCCATAAAATTAGGCCTTCTTTACATATAAACTTGCACTGGCTTATTTAAAGCAGTGCAAATCTTCATGTAGACACTTATTTTGATTTGTAGATTAATATGTTCTACTTAGTATAAACTGAAATATACCTGGTTTAACCTGAAATAAGTATCCATACATGGGCAACACATATAAGAGGCTTGGGGAGGCTAAGATTCCCCAAAATAAAGAAGGCTGGCCGTGCAGGGAGCAAATGCTGGATGCAGGTCGCCTCCCTTTTGGAGGTGTGCCGGCCTGACGCCTTTGTACCCTGGGAGCAGCAGTGCCAGAAGCTCCCTAGAAGTGGGGGGGGGAGGGGCACCAGCACCTGGACCGAGCCCCTAGCCCTCCCCTCCCTTCCGAGGCCCTGCCCGCATGCCAACCTCCTCCTGTGGTCCAGCCCCTGTTCTGCAGCGAGGCCCTGCCCCTGCTCTGCCTCTTCCTCCCGAGGCCCACCCCTCTGCTTCTTCTCTCCGCCCCTTCCCCCTGTTGCTCACCCTTAAGGCAGGAATAAAGGTGGGAGGGCATAGCCCTCCCACTTTTAAAAGTGATGGGGCCAAGGCCCCCTGGCCTCCCCTGTTCCGGCACCCCTGGCTATGGCCACATCATTTTTTTCCTGCCAGAAGGGCGAGCGATGGGTGGAGAGGAGTGAGCAGCAGGGCCTTGGGAAGAGGCGGAGCAGAAGGAGGTGGAGTGAGGGCGGGGCCTCAGGGAAGAGCCTGAGAGGGGGCAGGGCCTTGGGGTGGGGCAGGGGAGGGCCAGAGCAGGGGAGGGGCCACCATCTGGTCACTGGTGGCCCCACAATTCTAGGGAGTTTCCGGCACTCCTGGGAGTGGCCTCCCCAGACAAAAAACTCATTTGCCACCTACGTATCCACACAGCCTTTTGAGTAGGTTTAAAATACCACCTTAAATTGAATTTCTGCATGTAGACAAGCTCTGAGGCTCATAAATAAAGGACTAATCTATAGAATTGACTGGGGGAGTTCTCTAAGAGCAGAAACTTATCTGGTGATTGGTAGATTGCTTGCAAGAACTCCCATAAATAAAAAGAAATTGAACCACTTTCATGTGAATGGTAATCCTTTAGGATGAAGTGGTACAGGCCAACAACAAATTCATGAAAGGCTAAATGCAACGCCAGCTCACAACAAACCATCAGTGTTGTGAAATAAAATCTTGGGTTTGAGGTGGGAGAAGAACTGTTATTTCTTAACAAAAGCAAGATTCTAACACATTCCATCTACCCCAGTGGTTCTTATGACTCCCATCGCTGGTGCATCATCCACCCTGTCACTCTGTGTGATCATCCTGAGTGTGTGTGCTCACCAAGTTCCCCTCTAACACTAGTGTCGTAAGAAAATACGCATGGCATTAACATTTCAGCGGGAGGAAAGATGAGCTGGTAGAGCCTGCCTCAGACAGGCGGTGTCCGAGACACCTACGTTGTTCCTCTTTCACACATTACTCTGCAGAATGGGTGGGGGAAGGAACATGTCATCTATATTTAATCTAAAACAGGGATTCTCAAACGGGGGGTCGGGGATCACAAGGTTATTACATGGGGGGTCACTAGCTGTCCGCTACCACCCCAAACCCCGCTTTGCCTCCAGCATTTATAAGTGTTAAATATATTAAAAGGTGGTTTTAATTGATAAGGGCAGGGGGGTATCACATTCAGAGGCTTGCTGTGTGAAAGGGGTCACCAGTACAAAAGTTTGAGAACCACTGATCTAAAATATAGTAGGAGAAAACAGTATACAATCTGTTCTGACTCTGCATTTCTGTGAAGAGTTTCTATTTTTCTTTAGGAGCACAGGAGTAGAATCTGGAAATACCTGTAACCTCCCTCAGCTTCATCAAAC